TCTGGCTCCCAAGGCCAACTAAGAAACAGAAAGCGGAATTTCTGACTCAGATCTCGGGCTACTTGAGGCCTCTCTCAATTGATTCTGAAGTCAAGCTCAATATTGTTGAGTCCCAATCAGGATTATATATACAATTCTGAGATTAAGGAGGGAACTTGCGTATTCTGAGATAATTTAGAGCAGATCTTCTCGTTGAAGCTTTGAGATTTCATTCGATAATTATTCTTCATGCAAGATGTATCGGGGATATGAAGCACCTTGTAGTTTAAGAAGCACCCCTTGAGAAGACTACTTTCTTGCCCGCTGCGTTGTTATATATTCTTTACTTCAGAACCTTCTTGGCCCCTTTATAGGAACGCTTGCGGGGTTATGCTGCTCCGTGGGCGGATGGATGATCGTAGACCGTCCCCACCGACCCCTTTCTCCAAAATGGGAATCTGGCTGATGTTATTTGATCGCGATTGGGAATTATGACTTTCGTTACGAGAAGGCTTGCCCGCACGGCTCCCATCGAGGATTCTATGACGAGATATTTGGGGTCTGATCACAAATGACTGATAGATAATAAATGATAATAATTTGAAAAATATACCCCAATAAAATGGAGTCATATCATTTGCGCGCGGTCTTTTTTTTCTGGCTCTCCTTCAGCATTCTCTCTTGCGAAATGGCTAAGGGCTCTAAGATTCTTTTTCGGAAAACTAGTACGAGATGGTCGGTCGTAGGGGGAGAACCAAAAATCTTGGAGATTTTTGGTCGCGCCCCTTCTTGCCGCCCTCTTTCCGCTGCATTTATCTCTCTTTGGTTGTCTGTGCGGCGGTTCGGCTGGTTGGGCCATTAGAATGCGCTCTCCCCCATTGTTTCGGAATATTTAAAAGTCTGTAGATAGATACGAATGGCGTAATCATATTAATCGAATTCCCAATTTATCAGGGAATCGAATCGAAAAGGAGGCCTATCTATTAAGATATTGGCGATGCCAATCTAGATCTGAATGATCAATCTTCTCTATTTTTTGAGGAATTTATCAATTTATCTCTTTCATTTAGTGCTCTCTATAAAAATTATATATATATATGCATCGAATTTTCAATATTTCGAGATACGAAAAAAGATCGAGTGGATTTAGAATTTAGATTTTTATAGATCGTCAGAAAGCAAAGACGATTTAGGAGAGAAATACCGTCAACTAGCTTGGGGATTTCGGACCCTACGTCCCGGCGCAATCTATTCTAGGAGCTGACATATCTGAAATTATAGCGGGGGGTCAATGCAGACGCAGTCTCTACAATCGAGGCCCGCTTCCTTTGCCCTATAAGAGTATCATGAATCATCTCTAGAAAAATGATATGCTCCTCTCGCTTTTCCGACCTTCTTTGCTGCAGACTCATATCTCAAGAGACACGCCTAGAATATGCAAATCTTGCAATTCGCAAAGCGATTTTTCATATGGTCTGGCTCGCGCGTTTCAGACCTGCAAAAGTCATTTTTCATCTCGCTGTGTCCGGACGTGTGCCCTGCGAGGGAATGAGTTGTAGACCGCTGCTCCTGCTGCTTAAAAGCAAAGCAAGCCTAAATGCTACGCAAAGCAGAGAAGCATGAGCCTGGCTCAATTTATGTGTAGGCAGATTGATATGGCAAGGGGGTCTGGAATATCAACGGGGTCTGGATTCCAAGTTCGCGCATAAGGAAAATAGCTAGGGCTATAGTATTCCAGATCCGCCAAAAAGATCTGAATTGCCGTGCTGGGAGAAGTACCCCCCTGAACTGACGGGGGAGAGATCAAATTATCGATTTAGCTCTGAAAATATATTCATAATTGATATATCTCATTACGACGCGGTTACTTATAGCTATTTCGATTGCGCGTGACCTAGCTTTGCTGGCTCACTTTAAAATAGTTCTTACGGGCTCTCTAGAGGCTCTAAATTCTTGGAGATTTTTGAATCCTTCAGAAAATCTAGAGGCTCTAAAATCTCCGAGATTCTTTGGTCGCGTCGCTCACGCGACCCTTCCCCCCAGAACGATTTTTTTTTGGATTTATCTCTTTCTTTGGCTATGAGAGTCATTATTGGCGGAAAGGACTTCCTCGAGGCGGAAAGGACTTTTTCGAGGCCGCCGCTAAATGACTAATCTAATTTAGATTAATAATCGGAAAGAATTCTTGAACCGCACGAGCAAAAATCTTCCGAGATTTCGAATCATTTCTTTGCAGCGGTTCGGCGGAATGGATAGATCCGAAATGGAGAGCTAAAATCTTTCAGAATCTATAGATTAGTCGTTTTGGATTATGAATAAAATCATTCGCGGCTAGCAATCATATCCCCTACTATATTAGATTCTTATATATAGATAGGCGTAAAATGGAAAATCCGCATTAGATTAATTGGAGAAAAAAAATAAATCGTTAGATTCTGAGATATCTCTCTAAATCCTTGGATTCTAATCTATAAATCCGCTCCTTCAGGATTATCTCGAGATGGGAACCTATTTTTTTGAAGAATATGTTGATAGATATGGCAATGTCCTTGAATACGCAATTCCCTCAATTGCTGCTAGCCTGATAGTTCTCATTTTCAAAATTTCAATATTTATTCAAGATTCGAGATATCAAATTATAAGGACGTAGGATTTAGAATTCTCCCATTATTTTCTTCCGCACCAACTCGTTTAACGTCACGAATATATTGCAACTACAATGCTCCGCTGCTATAAGCAGCGGGCCCACTCTAATATTTAAATGAATATATCAAAATAATTGGGAAATATGATCCAATAGATAGAAAATATAACGATTTGATAGATTTGGAGGCATTAGATATTATATTTTAGAAAAAAATATTAATTGCCGTCAAATTTGGTTGGAAATTTGGATTGGATAGATTCTGCATAGATATCTTATTAAAGCTTGCAGGATGGCAAGGATCTTCTTTTTATTTTGATCTTTCTAGATATTATTTGAATATTTGATGATTCTTATATGATATATTATTTGGACCCGTGATTTCCAAGGGATTCTTTGATTGGAATTAAAAAATTGATTTTATAGAGAGATCGATTCTATTTGATGAAGATGATCAGCCTATACTTATAATTTCTATTTGGCGCAAGATCTCTTTGATATTTTTTTATTTTTTGAGAGATTATATGAGGTCGATTTATTTCTCGCCACGATTGGGAAAATTAGAAATATGGAGAAATCATGATTCTCAATATTAGGAATAAATTCATATCAATTCTATTTATAAAAAAATATCCCTAATATCTTAGACCAATTCTTATTCGGATAATTCTTGAGAGATTAGAATAATTGGAAGCCTTTCTCCAATCGATTTATCAATTATTATTATATAGCATATATGGACGATATTTATCATTCTTCTCGTATTCTATAAAGATAATCAAATAGAAGATCTTTTTTTTTAAAAAAAAAATTCTTCAAGATCGGAAAATTGAAGAAATCAGAATGATCATACGTCGACCCTTCCCGGAATTCGATTCGGAATATATTAATAATATATTTTTAGGAAAGGATATCCAAGATATTTTAGAAGTCTTGTAGTAAGAATTGGCGAAGACACCGAAATATGAAATGAGATTCGATCTCTAGAAATTCATTCGTACCTTATTGGCGCGATAACAATTTCATGAAAATCTTTCGAAATTCTAGATCAAATCTTTCTTAATGCTATGAACGATTTAAAAAAATATTCTCCGATAAGAAATCTTATATATTTTCCAAATAGTTACAAGCTCGTCTCTTTATATGATTCGAAATTTGATTTTTTTATAGATAAACCTATATAATAAGATCTTCAGACGAAATAATTAGCTGATCTTTATCTAATTATCTCGAAATAACGAAGACCTTTTCCTTTGGTATTAATAATCTTCGAATTCTTCTAAAAAGTCTTGGATATCTTCTTACGTTCATGGAACGATTAGTTATTTCGTTTCGAGAAATTGATAAAATTCTGAGATCTAAAGAATTCTTGAATTTAATTCATAATAATATCTTAGAATATATAGTCGAGTAAGTTATCATATTTGGTCAGCCTCCCTTAGGAGAATATATTGTCTCATAAGTAGAGAAATGATTCCGAATCATCTAGAATTTTATTTCCAATATACTTCAAAAATAGAATTCTAAATGATATCGTTCGATTGAGATCTTAGAATTTTATATCTTCATAATCTTCCTCGATGAAGATAGATTTTTGAAAGAAAATTCAAAATAGAAAGAATTCGCCGTTGAATTTTGGTGTCTATAAATCTCAAAGGTCTCGATTTCAGAAAATCTATTATTTGTGCGCCCCCCCTCAATATTGATAATTTCCCAGCAAATTAGTGCAATTCCAGAAAGTGGGGCCATGCACCCAGATCTAGGTTGCCATATGGGGGGATAAATAAGAAAAAATAGAATATAATTCCTTAAAATTAAGTCCTTTAAGAACATCCCAATAATCCAGCTGATGACTCCAAGATTTCTGCTCAGCGCTGAGAAGCCTTTTTGCGTCATTAGGCAAAATCAGCAGGGTTTACGAGCTATGCACTTTAGCTGAGGCCTTGAAGAGCATCCGAGCTCCGTGCATTTCATTGCGTGCGTTCTGATTAATCAGCGAGACTTGATGGGGGGTGCTTCAAAAGTGTGGGTCCTGCCTTGGGGGAGCGTTGTCAAACGAGACGATTGTATTTTGCGGGCCGTATGTAGCCTGGGCTGACCTGAATATGTGTGACATACCCAGAAGGCGTAACATCTCAAATTGGAATCCGGAATGCTGCGCAAAGACCTCATGGCAAACGAGTCCAATCAGCATGCTGAGTCGCGGTCAGGCGTACAAATTACACCGTGTCTTGTGCACCCGCCGAGCAATTTTCCAAGACTGTTGCCCCTTTAGAAGGCAGTAATTAATTGGCATGTTTTGTTAAAAATTCAGTGGGCCCAGCAACCTTAGAGGGTCCAGTGGAAAACGAGTAATCCCGCCAACACGAATTCAAGATCATCTGCTTCGCAAGTAGTCTGAGAAAGCCCGCTCACTCCACGCAAGAAGCTCCTCCTGGACCACATGGTTCACGACGTCGAAGCCACATCCGCTTTGCACCAAGGATTTGATTCGTATTTCATCTGCCTCAACTGAAGCCTGTGCTTGGCTTAGGTCTATGTTGTGGATCCTCTGGCGCAGGGGAGCCGCGCCCCTTGTCTCCATCATACTGGAGAAGGCTGCCATTTGCCGGCCAGGCAGCAGTATGCTTCTGGGAAACCCTTGTTCTATGCAAACATAAGTCTCAAAGAGACACCAAGCTCTTGTAAAGTAATGTGGCTGAAGGTAGTCATCCAAGATGACCAGCATCTGCCCAGCGTTTGCCAGATGTGTTTCAAACACCTGGCGACTGGCAGGATCCCCCTAGCCCTCAACAAGTGGATATCCTTCATGAAACCCACAAAAGACATGTGGGCTGATACAGGGATTCCTGATGTAAAGATCCCCAAGGACTGTTGAGAACCTTCCACCTCCTGAAGATCGTCGGAACCGGTTGCTGTCTGCTCCTTGAAGGACTTTAGAGGCCCTGGGAAGATTTAGTGGGCGCGGTCTATCGGTCTATCTGACATTTTCTACGTAGCGTTCCTCTACTCATCAGCATACAGTTCAACTAAAACACCGGCCTTACTATGGCCCAACTTCCAAAGATATAGTAAGAGTCTCAAAGGAATAGACTAACCCAGGCATGTCATGTGTGTGTTCTCTACGTTTTCTACATTTTGAGGGTGCTGTGGTTGAGGAACCCCACCCTTCCAATATACTTGCTGATGGCTGAGGCTGCCTCCAGAACCGCACACCCACCTAAAGGTTGTGTGGCCAGTTGACTACATGGTTGAAACAGTTATGCCCAATTAACCCCCTAAACCCACATTAACCCTAAGTATCCCTAAGTAGTAGTTTCCATTTGGTTTCCATTATCCCTATATAACCCCTATATTGCCCCATATTACCTATGGGTAATTATTTAGGCACCTATAATTTGTTGAAAAACACTGGCCCCCTAGCCTGGCTGGGCACTCGACACCTTCCCAAACATCCCGAAACCCAAAATCTTGGCTTTTGGGTTTAGGGCCTAGGGCTTGGGGTTTAGGGACCCTAAACCCTAAACCCTCAATGCCGTCCTCGAGGATGCGGTACCTTGGCTTGACACCCATTTATGGTTTGGCTTTAGGGTCTAGTGCTTAGGGTTTAAGAGACCTCTTGATTCGAAACCCGCAGCCTAATTTTACCCTTCACATGCTTTCACTGCCTAGTTTAGTCTCCATGTTCACATTGCACGCAGGTCTTCCTTCTAGATAAGCATAGGTCTGCCTCCTACTACACACACCTGTACAACTACAGTCAGAGCCAGCGGAACCAGCTTCTACGATGATATAAATGGGCCTGAGGTGCAAAATATCTCAGAGCTGAGAAGCATGTGACAGGTTGAGTTCTATTTGGAGTCAAAGTGGCTGATTGTTGCAGAAGAAACACATCCACAGGAAAATGGACTCAGCCTGTGGGTCCTGCAGCTGTGGCTGCTTCTGCCTCCAGGTGCCAATCGCGTCCAGGACATCTGCAACCTCGTACCTGGGGTTGAGTTAGGAGGAAACTTTGAAGTTTCCACAGGCGATTTAGGGTTTGGAGGATTTAGCTTCCGGGGATTCAAGGTCTAGGATCACGACTGCAAACATGGCCCAGGTACTTCCAGCACCACGATACGAAATGGCTGGACTTGCCGCATGCTGGTGGTTCTGACGCATCCACAAAGCTGGTGTGCGGCCTTTTAGGTTTTAAGGCTCGAGGATTGAAGAGTCTAGGGTTTTAAGGGTTGGGGTTCCTGGGTTAAGGGATTTAACGGTCTACGGCGTAGGGTATCTGGGGATTAAGGGTAAAGGAGACTTGGTTCAGGGGTTCGAGGGTATCAAAGAGTTCACTGCTTTCAGGTTTGGATGTTTAGAAGCACTCACCTGCTATCATGGTAGCTCCTTCACTGTAGAACCTTGAATACATTTAGCGGTTCGCGCAAGGAACTGGTGCTGAAGTGGAGTGAGGGAGAAAATCTTGGCAATCATGATCATAGAGTCCCCACATCCCCATGCGAATCCCTTAAATCCCGCACTCCTCCGCAAACACCAGTAAGATACTCTTAACTTTACGGATCGAGCCTCTTGTCTCGGGGGCAGATCTTCCCGAAGCCCTTGCCTCGATGGCCCACACATAGCGTGCTGGCCAGGTCGTAGAAATTGGGATTGGCCACGCCTGCGCAATGATGCGTACATGCAAGGTGGATATTGTCCTACAATCACTGCTTCCGTGACCATCTCCCTCCGTTGACTCTTGTTTTCTCTGAGTTGGGTTGACACTGGTACCGGAACTTCAGTTTTTGAAAGTTGAAACGGAAAGTACTAGATGGCATTGACCGGCAACCCAAGCCAGCTCTCAACTCCGAAACTTACCACTCCTCAAGGTCCCTTTCAAGGGATACAGGATGGTTCCACAGAACCCACGCTTTTCACTCAGAAGACAGCTTGCTTCACCATCGCTCAAGTGGCACACGTCCCAAGACAAGATGCCATTTGTTTCAGGATTTGGCGCAGGGCAGTTGCCTGTCTAGGGTCAACGCAAGGATCCACCCTCAAGTCGGGGGCCTGCTACAGAGCCCCTTTTCATGTGAAAGCTGGATAAACTCTAAGCCACTACTACACCGTAGAACGGGTCATAGACTCCGCCTCCCAATATACCCAAAGGGAACGTCTCCAGCCTTGTTCCCAGGACTCTGAAGGACTTTGAGAAACTAGGGGTTTGAAGTTTGGGGGGGGGGTGGGCAAGGGGGAAGGGAATCCCATGCAGGAGTATGAAAAAAAATATTGCACAAAGGGTTCTATACAGTTGTTGCTTCCTGGCGTGTTTGAATATGATTCTTGTGCTCCCATTTGAAGACCCTAGTTTGTTCCCGTTTTGGTGGGCATGCCCGAATACAACCAACACAGTCAGTCGAAGCGGCGAGGGGCTGATTTGCTGCAACCGGTAGTTTCCCAAAATAGCGGCACCCCCATATAGACCCCCACTATAGTCTGTATATGGGGACCCCTAAAAAAGGTATGGGTAGACTTTATTCTTGACTTCTTGCTTTTATTTGCGACTTCTTGTTTTTTGTGTGGGGTGTGAGGGGGGGGGGGGGGGGGGNNGGGGGCCTGGAATCGAAGGACGCGTCACACGAGAAAACGATTCTGAGAGGCACAAACTGTGAGGACTGAGGAAAAATCATGAATTTTTTTGAAAAATTGTGGAAAATTAAAAAAACTATGAAAATGAAGGAACGGATGGAACAATGAACAACTTTAAAGAGAATGAAGAGTACTGAACAATCAAAGGAAATGATAGAAAAACACAAAAATGATGCAGCACCTCCCATCTGCAAACAAAGTTACATAAACCTCCCTTACTGCTACTACTAGTACTACTACTACTACTACTGCTGCTACTACTACTACTACTTCAGGAAGGTACAGAAAGCCATAAACCCCGGAGCCAGAAATCGAAGGAGCCAGAAAGCCAAGAA